CCTCGCGCAAACCAACGGTATACTCTAACTTTAACACCAAAAAACGTGCTTGAAATTTGTGATTTTCGGAAAGAAAAAAAAAACTTAATGCAAAAAATAGAAATACGGATTTAAACTTCATATCCTTTGCTTCAAAACAGTGTAAAGTTTTTGATCGCATGAATGACTGTAGAGATGACAATTAAAATTTTATTTACGTTAGTTAAATTATCAGCCCCGCTGATTTTCAGAATCACGTGACGCTAAAACAAACACAATGTTCACAAAATATTAATAATAGGAAAATACAAGTCAAGAGCTTTCCAAACATATATAGATTGTATGGTTTCTTGTAAAATTTATTCCGATTATAGGTGTTTACATTTTTCATGCAAAAAAACTATCCTGCTACCTTAATTATGTCAACTGCTTAATACCTGTATATGCACTGGTCAAGGATTTGGTGAAGACAACTGTGATCAACAGAAGCCGTATTAAAAACAATGCATAGCTAACATAGGATAATTATAAAGTAGTTCTGCTCAATCTTTGTTTGAATACTAACTTTGTTGGTATCACTTTACTAATCGTCGTTACAATGGCGTTACATTAGAACGACATAATTTATCACAACAACAAATAGTAATCGAGTCAAAAATAACATGGCATTACGAGATGTTTGACTGCTTGTTAAATACTCACCCAATGAACAAAACTGACTGACTTCACTATGAATATAATATTGAGTACGGGACAGGAAACCACTTCCTTCTTCTGCCGGGACAGTAGCGTCAAATATAATGGGTTCAGAGTTCACACTCTGTGTATAATTATTTATTAATTATATAACTGCAAATGATAACAATCACACTTGTCATGGACGTCATAATCCCATTACTGTTTATATAATCTATCACTGGTGATACAGAAACATTACAAAGTAATTACAGTGACAAAGAGATACTATATGTATGTTGAACACCAATTTCTTTTAAGATGTAATGTTTATACGTAGTGCACTGTATATATGTGCACTGTATACTATGCAATACGCCAATAAGTCAGAGAAAAAGCAATTCTTCCCCAAATGACAAAAATATTCAATAAAAAATGTATGTATAATTATAATAGAAGTAACTGTACAGCAAATAGCTACGCTATAGTGAAAACACAGCAGAAATATTTTAAAAGAAAAAAGCATGACACTAGGCGGATTAACCTGTAGTGAACAATTTCTGATTCACTCTTATTGAAGCAGCTTCAAGACGAAGCGTTGTTCACACAACGGGATTTTTTTAAATAATGCAATCTTATTCGTATGAATGATAGTTATTGTGTTTCATCCCATTTACAAAAAATGGTCGGTAAAGCACCAATCAGGCAACACAAATGTTTTAATTTTTATTAATTTATTTTGTAAAATGGTTTCAATACACAGTCTATATGTTGAGAAGTATGACTGGAATATTCCTTTGTTCTAGCATCTGATCTCAAGTTGTAGTTTCTCTTCTGTTAACGTGTTAAATATTGTAACTGGCCGTTTACTTTGGTCGCTTGTATATTATTGTTGGGACACTTGATACTTTAAAAAAAATCTGTAAAGGAGGTAATAGGTGTAATAAACGTGTGTGGCCCCTGCAACCACCGCATTTTATGCGTGTTGTGTAATTTGTTTGAATATAAAACTGAAGAAGATTCTTGTTTTTTATAGTTTTCCTGTATAATTGTTTTTATAGATATCCTATAAGATTTGTTAACAAACTTGTAGATAATCTTTTGGGAGCATTATCGCATAAGATTTTTATAGATTGAATATCTTCTAAAGTTTTATACAAATTATATCTTTAGTAATCTTCTACTGGAATACTTTTACGGGAAGAACGTACGTGTTCACATGTTAGCGGTCAAATATGTTCCTCTGCTCAACTACCTTTGAACCTTTCCTTGCCCTTCCGAGATCAGTTTGGCGCTTCTAATTTCTATGAAGGGTGATTTGTTCATGTGGGAACGTCTGTCCATTTGTTTGGTGTCTAGGCAATTCCAATAATATACACAATATTTAACATACTGATATGAGAGTAAAATTCACCGTGATTGAACTGCAATGTATGTGTAGGTGAATACGGGGTGTAGTTTATCTTGCTGGTAATTTAACGAGTATTAATAGACTTAAGACAAACAATAAGTCTAAATCACATGTCTTTGTGGTGTACTCATCAGAGGCAGTGGCACGAAATTTTGCATGGGGCGAGATTTGCTCACCAACCATGCGCCGAAGTAGGGGATCCGGGGCATGCTCCTGCTTACAAATTTTGAAATCTACACCCTCTGAAATGGTATTTCCTGCATTTTGAGGAGCATATTTTGCAGACACAAATAGTTCCAGCTTGATTTTGGAGGGCCGACCCCCCTAACTTCTTTTCGAGGGGCGATTGGCCCCTCTTTGCGGCTTAATCTAACACCGATTACAGATGTCAGGTGTCGCCCAACAAAACACACATAATATACACACTTTATTTCCTTTTTTCTATTATTATTACTTATGTATTTTATTATTCCTTTTATCCTTATTGTATTATAATTGTATTCTAATCTAGAACCCAGAGGGGATACGATATCAATAAAGATTATTATTATTATTATTATTATATGTATGTTCACATGGCAGCAGCCTACCGGAGCCGAACTACTGTTCCTCCCACCGATTAACAGGAGATTATCTCAAATGCGTCCATACGGTCGGGAGCCGAACGAGAGTCGAGATCTGCCATGGGGCCTCCACATGGGTAAAAAACGAAGTGCGAAGTACCCGTTTTAAAAGGTGTAAAAATCGAAGTGATGCTTTTTAAAAACTGTAAAAAAACGAAGTGAAAATCTTATATAAATTGTAAAAGTGACCTGTTTGAGTTATAGAAAGTGAATATCGATG